TTCTAAGATATAGTATTCACTCAAAACGGGCCAAGAAAATGCATTTTAAAGGAAGCCCACTTCGCTATGAAATAGTTTATTATAAAGAGCAACCCACCCACCCCCACACCGAAATATTCCAGGCGTTTGTCTACACTTGAGTCCTTTTGCACACTTGTGTGATTTGTTAATAACTGGCTGAGTACCACCAGCCTCCAGCTAACTCGGAGTTGGGAGATGCGAAGAGCGAAAGATTTGAGACTCTGTATGCGTATCTAGCTCCCCAGGTTATTCTCCATCCTTTAGTAATTTTTGGAATCTTGAAAAGTTCAACCTTGTGATAACTGCGTGAAGACCCAAATGGCCAGGCACAACCTGCTAGATCTCATCTAGATTTCTCCCCTCCATCCCGTGTCGATATGCACACGTTTGGGGGACCAGCCCCGGGAGGTTCAGGCGGCGAAGGCTGTGCCTTTGCTGCCTCGCTCCTTGGGCGTCGCGTCCACACAGCTGCTTCGGGATGGTTTGGGTTTGGGGTTTGTTTGGTTTTTTTTTTTTCAGTCGTCTGTCTCTTCCTTTAGATTGGGAATTACTCATGCGAAGACCACCCCCCCCCACCCCCTTATTCGCCATCATTTGCTGGTGCCTGGCAGGGCGCAGTCACTGGGTTTCAAGCCTAACGCTCGCCAGCTGTGAGACTTCGGACACACGATCTCGTATCTATTAAACTGTGCCTCAGTTTCCTCTATCTGTAAAGCAGAGGTGGGACTGAAAGATGAGCCAGTCAGTGCACAGGCAGGGTTTGTCCCGGTGCCGGGCGAATGGTGAGAGTTCTAGTAATTATGCGTAATGTTGTTATTTATTTCCTGGGTAGCGCGTGGCGGTTCGACGCGAATGCCCAGCAAGCAGAAGCTTGAAACCCAGCGCGGCGGCCGCGCAGACCCGAGCCTCCGCGGCCGTCCCCCGGGCCCGTGGTGGGGTGTTTTCAGGGTGGGAAGCGATTGGCAGCCCAGCGAGCACCCGGCCCCTTTGTATCCCCCGCCCCCTCAGCCCCACTTCCTGCCCTGCTTTCGGCTCGGGATCCGCAGTGCAGACGGAGTTGTAAACACTGCGCGTCGGCGGGGGTGGAGATCGGCTGTGTTTGGGCACCGGGGGAGGGGTGCAAGCCTCTCTCCCAGAATACAAGCCCGAGACTGCGGGAGCCGGCGTCTGCGTGCACTCTCCGTGCTCTGCGGGACACACCTGCCAAGGAGGTAGGCTTGGGGCTGCAGACGCCAGCAGAGGTGGGGTGTCAGCCTCGCCTTTCTGCCCTGGCTGGGGCTCTGAAGTTCAGGCTGCAGACCAACGGGAGGGATCGGAGGGAAGCCGGTTAAGGGGGCTGCTGCTATCTCGTCACCGCCTACCCCCCAGCCCCCAGGGCTCTATATGTTTTCCTTCTGAGTGAACTTTTCAGCTTGGAGTCAGCAGAGAAGTCCCCCATTTCTCTTAAACAGGAACTAGGTGTTCCAGTTCTTGGGATGTGCTCCAAGATGACCTGGAAGCCAAGTAAGTGGTTTCAGTGGGCCATTTTGGTTCTTGGTGCTTCGAGGGCAGAACCTCAGGGTACTCCTGCCAGCCAGCATTGAGGGAGCGAGGTCAAACGACAGAGGCTGAAGGAGTGGGTGACACTCACCGTGTCCCCTCTGTGGTGTCTGATGGACAGGTATCACCTGTTATCACCTTATTTCCTGTTTTAGAAGAGAACCTGTATTTTTGAAGAAAAAACGGAAGAAATCGGTTCTTTTCACTAAGGGAGACTTAATCTGTTTATTGTATGCATTGATTGAGCACCTGCTACATGCCTGGCATGTGTGGGATGCTGAGGGTGCAAGGAATTTTACTCATCACTGCTGGTGTGGGTGAGAGAACAGGAGATAAATAAGGTCCAGGTGCTGTGGCTGAGATGGTTGTGGAAGGCTTCTGAGAAATTAGACATTTGAGTTGGGTCCTGAAAGATGAATATTCAAGAGATGGAGGAATGGTGGGAAGTGTTTGGGGCACTTATTCATTCCACAAAGCTGCTCTGAACACTGACTGTGGTGCTGGGCATTGGAGACGATGGCGGGGATGCAGGCTGACAAAATTCCTCCTCTCTTTTACCCACTGTCTAGGCATGAATAGAAGGGAACAAACAGGATGAATTCGGGGAAAGGCAAGTTTCTGGGCTGGCTCCCAAGAACCCAGGAATTCCCAACACCACAATGCAATTGGGAGGGTCCCCCTGGGGGTGATGTGACAGGCCACATAGTCCTGGAGCACCACCCCCAGTCTCTGGACTCTGAAACTTGTTCCTTCAGGCGACCCTTGTCCGGTGCCCACTGCTTCATTCTCTTTGGGGCCAGGCTTGCATGAGAATCTCCATTGCTTCCTGCAGAGTCTTCTCCAGTTCCTGGGCTCCTTTGAGAAACAATTAACACAGTAGTTTGTTCATTAATTCTTGGTCCTTTTGCTGGAGCCATGCTATGTGCCTGCACAGGTTAAAGGTTGAGGATATAATGGTAAACATGTCAGAGCCTCTGCCTCCTGGAGCCAAGCATGACGTAGGGAGAGCATCCCTGAGGGTGCCAGCAAAAGCCCGGTTATCAGTCCTTTAGGATTACTTCTTCCCGGTCTCCTGGAGGCCTCAGAATGCTCAGAAACTCTTGTTAGGCATACTTCTAAGCTCTTTTGATGTAATTTTCTAATTAATCCTAATAACAATAACAACAACAACAACCCTTAGGAGAAGCCCTGGCATCATAACAGTTAAGCAATGTTAATAAAAACAAGTAAGTTTGCCAGAATTAAGGGTGCATAGTGGAGTGTACCTGGGGCGGTGGGAGAGGTGCGGGGGGGGGGGGGGGGATTGTATACCAAAGAAAGAATTTTTCTTTTACTTTTTCAAAGAGAGGAGCAAACTGGAGGGGGGGAGGGAATGGGGGGGCGGGGGAAGGGCTGGGCAGGGAGAAAAGTGCAACAATGAATGAATGGAAATCCAAAATCTCTGTAAATGTTCATTAAAATTATTAAAATAAAATTTAAAAAAAGCCAAACAAGTTAGTTTGAACCCACCCAACAGCTCCTCAGGATAAAGACTGGCAACCTGCTCCCGCAGAGATAAGAAACAAGAAAACTCTTTGGGATAGTTTTGTTCTGTCACATGGGTTTCTGTGTGTTATAATCAATCTGATGGCCCCACCAACCAGAACAATAACCATAGGCCTGTGAGGGAGGCACTAGGATGCTCTCTATCTCTATTTGAAAAAATGTAAGCACTGAAGAATTAAGCTGTCCTCCTAAGAAAGATACAAGAAATAAATGACAGAGCAGGATTTAAACCCAGGAAGGCCCTTGTTTCACCTGCCTATCTCCTTGACTGAACTCCTAGGTGATAGATTTGAGTCAGGAATCTAGAAGTTTCCTGAGGGGAGTCCATAGCATGCATGCCAGTTGGTAGGAGTTTGAGCAGCCTTTAGCCAAGGTTGGCATCTGGTGCTGTTTCCAGGGAGCCCCCTCAGGCTTGGAGCAAGCTTGTGGAGCCTGCACAGTACTGCTCCCCTTCCTGATGGCCTGAGGTTTGTTGCCCTGGGTCAGACTCTCACACTACACTGAGTTGTTGTTATGTGCTGCCATCAAGTTGGAACCTTGGAACTGACTCACAGCTGACCCTCAAGAGGGTATTCTGAAGCTGTAAATCCCTCAGGAGGAGACTGCCCATCTTTCTCCTGCAGAGCAGCTGGTGGTTTCAAATTGACTACTTTTGAATTAAGAAGCCCTGGGGGGCCTCAGGTAAGAAGCTGTGCTGCAGTCACAATTGTGTGTTCCAGCTGCTTTGCAGAAAAAAGGGCAATCAGCTGTGGGCACATAACAACAACTCCCGGCACCGTTGGGTTGGTAGAGCAACTCCTTATACTTGGTCATCATGACTCCCTCGCATACTGAGAGGAACCAAAAAAACCCCCAAACCCACTGGTATGGATCTGATTTAGACTCATAGCAACCAACCTGTAGGACAGAGTACAGAGGGCTGCCCTCCCCATCACAGGCTTTCCAGACCTGTCTGTCTTCACAGAAGTAGATGCCTCTTCTTTCTCTTCTGGAGCAGCTGGAGGGTTTGAATCATCAACCTTTCATTTAGCAGCTGGGTGCCTTAAACACAGGGCCACCAGAGTTCCAGATATTGAGAGGAAATGAGGAGTCTCATCGACTCAGGAGGGGCCAAAGGTAGCTGCAAGAAAGAACTTAATGATGTGTATTTGCTGTGCCAGAATCTGGGCAGGAGGACTCTCTCTTGTTGAGAAGCTTTAAGAATACCAGAAAGGTGGATCCTCCATTCCGAAAGGATCTAGAACCCTCAGTAGTTAAGAAGATCGAGGCGTGGGTGCGGAGTACAGTTGTCCTAAAATGCTGCCTTAGTTCCTTGATGCTGCTGTAACAGCAATACCACAAGTAGGTGGCTTTAAGGAACAGAACTTTGTTTTCTTACAGTTCAGGAAGCTTTGTTGAACTCGCTCAGCCTGTGGCTCTCGGGGAGGCTCTTTGTTGTCTTTATCACATCCTAGTAGACAGTGATCCTCCTCGGTTCCTTGATGATCTTGTGGTTTCTGTCTTCCTCTGTGCTCACTTGTCTCAGTGTCTGCTCTTTATGATTGAATAGTGAGTAGGTTTAGGGCACAGTTTACCTAGAAACCATCTTCTCAAATGTGACTATACCCACAATCGCAGGGGTTAGAACTCCAATTTGGAGGTAAGAATCCCAGATGCAGTTCAGGGGGGATGACACACATTTCAGTCGATAGCTGGTGTTCACCACTGCTTGTTCCTGAACCACAGCCT